AAACATGTACAATCATGAACATTCATCATTCAACCATCACCGTAGATGTCGGTCAGACTCGGCGATTGCATCGCGATGGACCAGTGCTGGAGCGACGCGATCGCTCCATCGCTTGTCCACCGCGATGCAGTCGCTCTTGCAATGTGCACAAGCGACGGGCGATTGGCATCGCTCCAAAGTGCGAGCGACGGGAGATTTACCCCGCCGACGACCGATACACACGGCGCCGCTCGGGTAAATCTCCCGTCGCTCGCACTTTGGAGCGATGCCAATCGCCCGTCGCTTGTGCACATTGCAAGAGCGACTGCATCGCGCGATGCAATCGCAGAGTCTGACCGACATCTCAAGCATATGGCGAGGAATCGCCCATAGATCATTTCTAATCTGTAGGGAAGGGGATGTAACACGCTGTTCATGAGTGAATTTCCGAACGTGAATCAAAGCTCACGATTCATCTTCCACTTACGCACGCGCTCAAGATTCAAGAGGAGGTGGCGATCTTTTGACGTGTTTTAGTCGTACTACCCCGCAGTAGAGACCAAAACAACATGCGCGCTTGACCAGGCGACCTTCATCTACGTCGCGCTAGGTGAAGCGTCGAAAATGATCTCCAAGTCGAGTTTCAAGGAGTTTCAAGGAATAAGGCGTACTAGTGACAACTGAATCAGTTCCAATTGGTCATAGCCTATTTTGTGGAGGGGAACAGCTTGAAAGTTGAAACCCTCGTGGACGAGTTGGCCGCAGTTCTGACGTCAATTACAATGACTTTTGGACTCATAAAGTTTGTCATTTTAGGTAATTGAGGCACGTCTCGTGGATGGATCCGACGAGTATATTCAGCTGTTGGACTTGATCTTCTGCATTCAGTGGTATTTCACCCACTAAAAGCAAGCAAGCCTGTTGCAGTCACCTCTGATCTAAGGATTGATCTCCACACCTTTACCCTTAATCGGTTACAATCATGCCGGTATTAATTTTCTCACTTCAATGTAAACTGCGACCTATCAACAAACTTTTTCGAAGCTCGTTATCAGTTATCATGACTGTTTTTATTTTGTAATGTTTTCCCATTTCTTCTACGCGGTAAAACTATATTTGGGCTAAATAAATTTGTTTTCGTAATTGTAGAATAGCATAGTTTCGCAGCATTACAAATACTCGAGAAGGGTTCAAACTGAACATTTCAGTAAGTCTTGAATTGACGTAAGTCAGTGGGTCCACTAGTTGTTAAAAAGGCTCAAGATGGAACATAAGTTTAGTTCCGTTGAAGACCCCGGTTGAGGTAGTGGATAGTGGTATAATGAAGCGTGTGTCAAAATATGAAAGCATTC